AACCGGCCCCAGGACCGACCCTTGGGGCACTCCACTTGATACCGGCTGCCAACTAGACATGGAGCCATTGATAACTACCCGTTGAGCCCGACAATCTAGCCAGCTTTCTACCCACCTTGTAGTGCATTCATCCAGCCCATACTTCCTTAACTTGCTGACAAGAATACTGTGGGAGACCGTGTCAAAAGCTTTGCTAAAGTCAAGAAACAATACATCCACTGCTTTCCCTTCATCCACAGAACCAGTAATCTCATCATAGAAGGCGATTAGATTAGTCAGGCATGACCTTCCCTTGGTGAATCCATGCTGGCTGTTCCTGATCACTTTCCTCTCATACAAGTGCTTCAGCTTCTTAAACCTTTACAGGTGAAAGGATTTTTCCTCTGGCCAGGAGGGATTTTAAAGGTGTTTACCCTTCCCTTTATATTTATGACACTGACTCTGGTACTTAAATCTCTGTAGAGACACCATCAGACCTCAGTACCTCCTGGTACAGTGCCTCCATGGTCAGATGATTCAGGATCTTTGTCGGAGTTAGGTTCCTATGCCCCTTGCTTCCGGGATAGGAGGTGACATACACCTGCATCATAAGGATTCTGCTCCTGTTACCTAGCAGATATCTCTTGGACATCCAGGGACCCAGATCCTTGGGCTGGTAGGAGTCGGGGTCCTGTACCCTATCACAGCCATATTGGAACCTGTGGGGCACAGATGCCAACTTTCTGATTTCCCTGGGGGTGCTCGACCCCCTGCTCTGCCCTAGGCCCTGCCTCTTCCCGCCCCATTCCGCCCCCACCCTTGCTGTGCCTCTCCTGCCCCTGTTCTTCCCCCAGCGCCTCTTGCTTGCCACTGAACAGCTGATCGGTGGTGGGCAGAAGGCGCTGGGTGGAAGGGAGAGGAGCTGAATGGCGAGCACCCATGGAGTCAGCGCCTATGCTGTGGGGTTCCCTCCCCCCAAGATCCTCCCTGGTTCTCCTCCCTCTGGATCCCCAAGCTGATGCTGGGCTAGTTCCCATGAGGTGGCTCACGATGTTACCTCCAGGACTGAGTATGATACCGACAGGGGTGAAAGTGGGCCGGTATGGGGCCGGTACTGGCCTGTACGCAGCCGATGTTAAGCACTTTAACATAGCGGGGCTGCCAACGGGGGAGGCAAAAGGGGAAGCTGCTCCGGGGCCGGCGATTTAAAAGGGCCCGGGGCTGCCGCGGTGCCCTGGGCCCTTTTAAATCACCACCGGAGCCTCAGGCAGCGGGGGGCCAGGCAGCGTGGATGGGCTGCCTGGAGGAGGCTGACCTCCCCGCCCGCCCTACCCCTTCCGCCCAGGGCCCCGGCCCCTGTACTGGTAAGAATTTAATATTACTTTCACCCCTAGGAATCTCAAGAATGGCCTCACATACCAGAATTTCAATCCACTTCAGTGCAGAAGACTCAATCTCAACCTCCTTTGCACATGCCTCCTTATCCCCTGAAGCAGCTGTAATGCCTGGTGTGTCCTCACCTGTTCAGAGCTACATGACTACAGAGCCTATCAGGAGTTTCTAAAGAGGAATGCTTCCTCTCTTGACATTCAGGTTGGGGAGTTCCCACAAATTGATGGACATACTGGGGGTCAACAGGACCTCCCTGTGTGGTTCTGCCTACAAATAAAGGTATCCTAGAACCTACAAGATCGCTGTAGCAAATGCCATAATCTCTGCTCCCTAAAGCCAAGCGAACTGAGAAAAGGTACTATCCTTTGTGAGGGCTATGAGTATTTCTACATGTATGCCTTGCCAGGTTCCTTGGTTGTCTTGACAATAAATGATGGGTTACATCAAAGATGGTCTACTACTACCCCAAAGAATAAAGAAGCAAAGAGACTGGACCTTTTTGGTAGAAAACATTTATTTCACTGCAGGTCTGAATTTCATATCTCTAACCAGCAAGCCTTGTTGGCCAGATACAATTTCTCCCTCTGGGGCAATGTACTGAAGTTGCTAGAGAATTCCAGGCAGGAGTTCCAGGCCATCTGAGAAGAGGGCAAAGGACCTCTCTTCAAGGACCTTAGATGAGGCAGGTTCGGCAGCCAGAGCCATGTGATGATAATGCTCGGGAGTTCATGGCTTTAATCATTGGGTTTTCCACAGGAGGTTCAGAAGACTATCCAGGATCTCCCCTTTGAGGATCCTACCCCTTTCTCACAGCATACAGATGAGAAGCTTCACAGTGTCAAAGACTCAAAGTCCATGCTGAAGATATTGGGAATTTACATCCTTTCCCTAGAAGAAAACAATTCCACCCTCAGTCTTACCAGCGATACCCATTTTCCCCATCTAGATAGCTGGACTACTCCAGAAAAAAGAGCAAGAACCACAGGAGAAGACCTCCACTTCCTCAGGTTTCTTTTGCAGCAGGTTCTTCCACACAAACCAGAAAATTCTAAGCAGTGTGTTTGATTGCCTTGTCAAGGACAGAGTACCAGTTTTAGTGCCAGTTTCTCTCCCCTCTGTTTTTTTCAACAGGTTAGCTGCTTCCTATGTGGTTGGGACTTTATTACCATAGATCAATGAATTCTAAGTGCTGTGGAACAAAAATACACCCTACAGAATCCCAGGAAGTTTCTGAAGAAGCAGCGAAGAGGGGCAGAGTTGTGAATATGTTAGGGCAGTACACTTGGAGACCAACAGTTACTGGTAAACACTGGTATGCATCCGATGAAGTGAGCTGTAGCTCATGAAAGCTTATGCTCAGATAAATTGGTTAGTCTCTAAGGTGCCACAAGTACTCCTTTTCTTTTTGCGAATACGGACTAACACGGCTACTACTCTGAAACCTGGTAAATAACTGTTCTTCCTCTTTTGAGAATTGCTTCTGCATATCCCCGCTTGTGGGAGCTTAACTAGGACAACCTCTATGCATTAATGGGGAAAGCACTAATTAAGCAGTGATTAAACTGCTCTTCCCAATAGAGTGTCACAGTGAGATGCCAAATGAAAAGTATAGTGTTGCACAAAGGCATGAATAGAGTATCAAGGTTAAAATCTCCACAATGCAAACATTACACAAAGCTGCCTTAATCTCATAGAATGGGACTTCAGGTCCTGATCTGTGTGCAGAGTTTCATTCATTTGGAAAAATCTTTGAATAGAAAAAGATGCTTGGGAATAGATAATAGTCTATCATCAAAGCTACATATACTCTGGATGACTTCCTAGAGGGCTTTGTTTTTCCTAAATGATGATTCAGCTCTTCTTAAAATCAAGTTTATGTAATCTAGCCTCTCATATAATAGATACACCTTTTGGAAAAACACTGATGAAAGATATGGATTGATTGAAATGGAAATCTGAAACCACATTAAGCAAAAATGTAGGTTGAAGAAGTAAAGCCACCTTTGTTTGAATTTTTTGTCCCTGTAGAACACAGTAAAATGTGAGACAGCCATTAAGCCTTTCAGTTTACTCACTGCCTCTGCAGATGTTACAGCTGTTAAAAACATCATCTTTAAAGGTAAGTGCTAAAGACAGAGTTTTTCAGAAGTGCAGAAGGTGGCTCCATCAGTCCTGTAAGCACTAAACTCAAGACCCAAGGTAGAATAAGTTCTTGGACTGGTAGGTACATATTAGTCTTGTCAGGAAACTTAATTATAGGATGTTTGAAGATAGAAAAACCTTGAACTACTTGGTGGCAAGCAAAAATGGCAGGTAATGAGATGGCACGAGAATGAATAAAGGATTAGAAAACATGCCTTATAGTTGATGTATGAAAGCTCAATCTGTATATTAAGGGGTGGCCTGATTACAGTCTGTAAGTACCTACATGAGGAACAAATATTTGATGATGGGCTCGTGCTCGTCAGTCTAACTGAGAAAAGTATAACATAATCCAATGGCTGGAAGCTGAATCTCGACAAATTCAGCCTGGAAATAAGCTGTAATTTTTTAACAGTGAGAGTGAATAACTATTGGAACAATTTACCAAGGGTTGTGGTGGCCCTGCTGTCAGTGGCAATTTTAAAATTTGGATATTTTTTTTAAAAGATATGCTTTAAGACCTATTTTGGGTGAGTTCTGTGGCCTGTGCTGACCTGTGGCCTGTGGAGGTCAGACTAGATAATTTCAGTGATCCCTTCTGGCCTTAGAATCTATGAATCTATAAGTGTATTTTGATAGTAATAACAGATAGGCTTGACTGCTTTGTTTGAATTAAGTAGTAAAAAAATTCAGGAACAGATAATGCCAAAGGAGAAAATTATTGGCTTGAGTCCACATAGAAAAGTGAATTTGCATCTTTTCCATGATAGATAAAAACTCAGATACTCTGGGAAAATTTATTCCTGGATTGTAGACATATGTTCTGCATTTCTTTGGAGTACTGAACATCTGTATTCAACGAATTATTATGAGCTAGGTGAAGGCATGGCAGATCTTGATGAATTTCACCTTGATGAATTGTCGCCTAGTATAGAAATATGGAAACCCCAATAACCATTATTAGAAGCTTTGATGGCAGAGAGATTAGATGTCTCGGAGATCGGAACACCAGATTGGATACGCCCAATTTGAAGCTATAAGAATTACATGAGACTTGTTGTTTTATCTTCCCTATGACTCGGGGAAGAAGGGAAATCAGACAGAAGGCATATGAATTGATTATTCTAGTCCAGTAATAAGATGTCGGTCAGCTGGTTTCCGTTCTTGCTCTTGGACAAAAGAGGAGACACTATGCTTTGTTTCTTACTGCAGAAAGATTAACTGATAGATTATTTCATTTATGGAACAAAGGTGTACCACTGATTCCTTTAAGGAACGCTTGTATTGTGTCTTGAACTTGTGACTCAGTTTCTCTGCAAGTGAATTCTCTTTTTCCACCAGATGAAGAGCAGTTGGATGGATTAAATTACATACATCACTTCCAAAGATAATTGATTGATTGTTTCTGCTCTTTTGATGACAGCTCTTCCATCAGGGTCTAAGAAGACTCTTCCTAATCATGTCTCTTTTTCTTATTTTTTCTTCAGGGATCTGAGAGAGGCCCTTGGGTCTCTGCATAGACAATATTAACTATGTAGAAGAAGAATGAAATGAGGCAACCTAGGCACTGCAATAATCTTTGCAGATGCATGTTATGAAGACTCCATCAGTTAACAGAGAATCTTGAAATAGATGTTAGCCTTTTTGGAAGGAAGACCTGAAGTCTCTGATGTACCAAGGGCATGAATCCCTAGAAGTCTCTGCACCTTAGGACCTTTTTAGAACTAAAGAAGACTCAGCAATCACTGTGCAGTTCCTAGAAGTCAAGCTAGACTTCCATGGAACCGTGGTTGGAAAGTCCCAGATTTGTTCAGATCCAAGGACAACAGATTCTTTATGAACAAAGCCTCATCCAGTGAAAGACTTTAGATGTGTGTCTGTCTTTTGTGATTCTAGTCGCGATTTTCATGACTGCCTCCATTTTTGGATGCCCAACTTGGGACACCCCATAAGTATGACTTTCAAAAAGTGCTAAGCACCCACTCACTAAAAATAAGGTCCCTCTAAGGGGCCTTACAGCTGGCATCCAAAAAAATCACCATGCACTTTTGAAAATTTTGGTGAAAGGCAACGGAGTGTCCAGCCAAGGAGAGAGACTCCCACAAAGAATTCAGTGAGTGTGTTGCTCTGTCACAGTCATTTTACGAAGGCATGATGGACACTTCTTAATTCCTACTGTCTTCTTTGTGTCAGCCACGATTCAACAGAACAGGAAGCTAACAATTTTGCAGCCAAGAACCAAAGATCTGATGAGGATAGGGACCTGAACGGTGATATGATCTCAAACAATAAACAACTGAAGATGCAGACACTGCTGTACCTATGCTACCACTAACAACAAGTAAACTGAATATACGACAAAAAAGTTTTTAAAAAAATCTGCCTATTATAACAGCAAAGGCACCAGAGAGAGAGTCCTGACACCAATGTGTAGCTGCATTTGGAAGGTACTGAGAAGGCTTGCATGCTTTACATGATTTTTATAGTCTCTGGTTAAAAACTTACCAGTTGTTAAGTTGTGGTGTTAATGCATCTGACAAGCACTGCTCTTCTAGATGGTTATGAGCTTTGGCATGCAAAATATATCCTAGACCGAAGATATTCAAAGACAAGTCTGAAAAGAGTGAAAAAAACTTTCTTCTGCTCTTAAAAAAATATAAATGGGTATTCCAGTTTTTCTTCAACAGCTTACTTCAGTACTAATAAGTAACAAGAACATAAAAAGATTTACTGTCTGTCCTGACTAGTAGAAAATAATTTATGACCAGTTTTACATCAGATGAGTTCAAGATTGGTCCCTTAACTGCATGTTTAGATTTTCCTTTTTATTAACAATTTTGTATGTAGACAGAGCAGTTTAGCTGTGCTTTTATCAGCAGTTTCTGACAACAAATGTTTGTAAGGAATTATTGACAGTGTTTGGTGGGTTTGTTTAAAGACTTGTCAATTGACTTGGATTATAAATTGCAGAACCCCTGTAGTGTGCTACTATCATTGGGTATATGGAACTCAAGTCGTCCTGTGGTTCCACTTGATTCCACTACCTCCTAAACCACACTGCTATCCATCACATAAAGGTCACTGGGCTTTGAAACACAGCAAGATTGAATCAGGTTCCTGGAAAAGTACAACAGGGATACATAAAAAACATGAGGTTTTGGGTTTTTTTAATAATCTTTTTGGGAAAATATTTTTCTTCTCAACTATATTTCAACACCTCTCATACTAACAAACTGCTGGGAGGGGTGGGGGAAGGAAATGAAGCAGATCAAGTTGTAGACAGACGGAGGGGTTTTGATTTTCAAGAGTCTATTTCTTTTGTTGATTCACATCTCTACCTGTGCATTGATAGCAGAGAAAACTGAGAATGTGGAATGGCTTCAGGATTGCCCTTCATACTCGGTGTGCCTACACATATGCCAAATAGCTCAAGCCAGATCTGTTCTCTACTGAAACAAATATTATTAAAAGAAAGGGAGGATAAATTAGGAAATGAAAACATTCTGTTGCCAGGTCCGCCTTTCCTTATTGGTGCATATCTTTGTGTATTTGAGGAGGATAATATGCAGTGATGGTCGACATGAGCTCCAAGCTCTTCCTAGTACTGTGAGAGGAAAAGGTTACAGAAAATAATGCCTTTAGTAACAATGACCTAAGCCCTTCATTTTCTTATTGCTACATGTGCATGACTGTGAGAGAGGCAAAAATGTTAGGAGGATCAAAAGGCAAAAATCTGTTCTTAATTAATTGTGTTTCAGTTTCTTGAGGGCTTATAAAATGTATTTCTCTATGTGTTTTCACAGATTCCACTGAAGATGAGAGACAGTGGATCAAAGCATTTGCGCCTCTCAAAATATACCCACCGTTTCTTTGTATTTAGTGTAAATGATTTACTACCCTCACAGGTTTTAGTTATAATCCAGTGAGTCTTGTTTTAAGATTTCACTGCATGTATCCTTTTGCTGTGTTTAGACTACACTCTGCTAAAATATAAAAACTATTTAAGTTTGAGCATTTCTTGATGTGTTTGTCGACACTGCCAACTCAGGGACAGGCAGCCTAGAGTAGTCAGGAGAGTGTTAAATTGATAACAAAAGAGAAGGGTAAAAAGAGGCCTGATATGAGCACTCATTTAGCACAAAATCGAGATATTGAGAAGAAAATCAATCTAGGAACTGAAAGATGTCAAGAGAAAAAAATTTATTGCTTGTACACCAGTGCCGGGAGCCTGGGTAACAAACAAGGAATTAGAATTGCTCATTTATGAGCATGAATTCGGTCTAGTTGGTATTACTGAAACCTGGTGGGATGATTTGCATGATTGGAATGTTAAAATCAATGGTTATAACCTATTTAGGAAGGATTGAGTGGGCAAAAGGGGAGGGGGTATGGCACTCTTTGTCAAAAATGGCATGACCTGTTTCAGGTCCCCGATAACTCAGAAGAAAATAATCTTGAATGCTTATCGATCAGTATCCTAACAGACAAAGTATAAGATGGGTATTAATTGGTGTCTGCTACAGACTAGCAAATCACACTAGGGAACAGGATGACCAGCTTCCTATGCAACTATTTCTGACAAGTAGGAAGAGAAGTGGAGACTTCGGTTTGAGTGACATATGCTGGAGTTGTCATGCTGCCAGTATTACAACATCTATGGGATTTTTTCTAAATACTATAGATGTCAATTTCCTAACTCAAAAATTTGTTGCCTCTAAGATGGAGGAATTCTATATTAGACTTTGACAGATAGAAGAACTGATCATAGAACTAAAAATTAATGGTAGCTTAGGTACAAGTGGTCATGACTTGATCACATTTGTAATGTGGAAATAGGATAAAGTGCAGATCAGTGATATGTATATTTGGTGCTTTAAAATGGCCAGTTTTACAAAGCCATAAACATGACAAGCCTTAGCAGCCGCAGATAACTTGCAGCCAAGAGTTTTAAATGAGCTGTCTGAGGAGCTTGCTGGACCATTAATATTGATTTTTTCAGTAAGTCTCGGAACACTGGGAACGTTCCAGAAGACTGGAGAAAGCTAATGGTGTGCCAGTGTTTAAAAAAGTGAAATGAAATGACCCGGGTAATTATAGGCCTGTCAATCTGACTTCAATCTAGGGGAAGATAATGGAGCAGCTGATATAGAAGTCAATTAATAAATTAAAGACAAGTAATATAATCACTGCCAGTTAACATGGGTTTATGGAAAATAGATTCTATCAAATGATATTTTTTTTGTGATGAGATCAGAAGTTTGACTGACAAAGGTAATAGTGTTGTTGTAATATACTTATACTTTTGTAAGGCATTTGACTTGGTACCACATGACATTTTGAATAAAAAACTAGAACAATATTAAATTAACATGCCACACATTAAACAGGTTAAAAGCTGACTAACTGATAGGTCTCAAACTGTAACTGTAAACAGGGAATCGTCATTGTGTAGGTGCATTTTTAGTGGGGTGCGCAGGGTCTTGGGTCTCCATTATTTAACATTTTTAGCAATGACCTGGAAGAAAACAAAATCATCACTGATAATGTTTGGAGATGATAGAAAAATGGGGAGGAGGGTGGTAAATAATGAATAGGACAGATCGCTGATACCGAGTGATCGGGATCATTTGGTAAGCTGGGCTCAAGCAAACAATATGCATTTTAACACCGCTAAATGTAAATGTATACATCTAGGCACAAAGAATATAGGCCATATTTACAGGCTGGGAGACGCTATCTTGGGAAGCAGTAACTCTGAAAAAAGTTTGGGGACCGTAGTGGATAGTCAGCTTATCATGAGCTTCCAGTGCAATGCTCTGGCCCAAAGAGCTAATGCGATTCTTGGATATATGAACGGGGATGTCGAATAGGAGTAGAGAGGTTATTTTACTTTATGTGGCACTGGTGTGACTTGCGCTTGAATACTGTGTCCAGTTCTGGTGTCCACAGTTCAAGTAGGATGTTGGTAAACTGAAGATAAGAAGAGCCATGAAAATGATTAAAGGTTTAGAAATCACATGCCTTCTAGTGATAGACCCAAGGAGCTCAATCTATTTAGCTTAATAAACAGAAGCATCAGGGGTGATTTGATTACAGTGTGAGTACCTACATGGGAAATAGCTATCTGATAATGGGGTCTTTAGCCTTGCAGAGAAAGGTATAACACCGTCTGATGGCTGGAAGTTAAAGCTTGATGAATTCAGACTGGAAATAAGGTGTAAATCTTTAACAGTGAGAATAATTCCCAGTTGGAATAATTTTCCAGGGATTGTGGTGGACTCTCCATCACCGGCAATTTTAAAATCAAGATCGGATGTTCTTCTAAAAGATATGCTCTAGAAATAATTTGGAGGAAGTTCTATGGCCTGCGTTATACATGTCCTGCTGGAGTGATCACAATGGTCCCTTCTGGCCTGGGAATCTATTAATCTATTTCTGGATTGCAAAATAGCAATTTACATAGCTGTGGGGAAATAATAAAGTGACTATAGTCTTCCTGCTGTCTGAGCTCATAATGTAATGTTGGTAACACTAAACACACCGGTTCACAGAGTGTTTGTAATTTTTTCATCTACATGATGAACACGATTCGTTTAAACTCGAGGACTATTGTGGTTGCTGAACAGTTATTGCTGAACAGTTAAGCATATAAATATTAGATTTTAGGGACTTGCCCTGTGTCCTGTTGGCATTGATTTGTACTGCTATGCAAGAGAACTAGGTCTGACTCCCAGATCTGGTCTCAGAGTTGGTTAGTATCATTACAGCTACTTAGCTGTAATGATACTAGCCAACTCTTTAAAAAGTGGGTGCTTACAGTTAGGCTCCTAAAGAAGAGGCCTGTATTTCAGAAGTGCTGAACTTCCAGCAGTTCTTACTTATTTCAATAAGAGCTGCCGGTTGTTCATCTCTATTAAAAGACAGACAACATGTGTAAGTGCCTACATATAGCCTTAGGAGCCTAACAATTAGGCACCCAGTGTGGAAAATCTTTTCCATTGGCTGAAATGTGGGTGCTTGGGAAAAGGGCAGGATTCCTCAGGGCTCCAGTATGAATTGTTAAAATAAAATATTTTATCTCTAACTGTTAATAATTGTATGAAATGGCCTCTAGTCTCCACTGTGCTTTCCATTCTGGTGTATGTTCTCTTCCCTCCCTCAATTCAGAAAGTATTCTTCATTTGAGCATGCAGAAATCAAGCCACACAAGCCTGTGTTATGTAGCCATCACACATTACAGCTTCTCCCAGACCATTTAGTTTCTTATTTGAATCATTCAGAACCAGGACCAAGGTGATTTCTTCCACCAAGGTTTTCTGTGTCTCTGAAAAAAGACTGTCTCATGGATTTAAAACCTGTGTCTGATCTTTGTAAAATAATTTCACATAACAAAGCTAAACAACGTCTGTTGCCAAGATTGTGTGACAAGGAGAATGTAGGGGGAAGCCCAATGCATTCTGCTATTTATGAGGTACAGGTTTATGGTGGGGAGAGAGGGAGAACATTTCCAACAAATTGAAGGTTTCAGAGTAACAGCCGTGTTAGTCTGTATTCGCAAAAAGAAAAGGAGTACTTGTGGCACCTTAGAGACTAACCAATTTATTTGAGCATAAGCTTTCGTGAGCTACAGCTCACTTCATCGGATTCGCGGCACTGAAAGTAACAGCAGCATGGTATTGGCCTTCTACTTTGGATATGCAGTTGGTTGGCACTGAGTACTCAAGTACCTCTTTTTCTTTTCTCTCTCCCAAGTATTGTTTTCCCATTTTCCATTCAGCTAAATCATGTTCTGTATTTTGCACAGCCTGGAAAAGGCTCCATGGCTGAATAGTTTTCCCTAATCTTATTTATCTGCTTCTTCAGTGTATAT